CTCCTCTCACGGTCACCAGTAGAGCAACAAATTCTCCAAGCCAAGCACCAGGACGTAGGATCTGATGGCAAAATTGAACCTAGAGAACAACAAAGAATAATTTTTTGAAGTCATAGTGAACAAGAAAGAATTACATGCAATCACTGTAGCCATAGAAACCCTTCACGGAGACATGTTGACCACACTCCACAGCCTTGCTCAGTGAGAAAGGCAAAAGAGGCAGTTTCTCCTTTCTATTTTCAGAAATTGTTACAGCCAATTGAAACCTCATTCAAACCACTAGCAACTTCCTTCTCCAAGAATGCATTAAATGAGGAGAGTCATGAGTTAGCTTTTCTCATGCCTTGTGTCTTTCTGAGTGGATCATAACCCCCTTCAGCCAGAAGGATTCTCTGAATGCATTCGGTCATGTTTGCAGCAGCAAGCCCTAGATTTTGCACATGAGCAATGCTCAGTTAATGCTTTATACTGATGCTGTTGGCTACACCACAGGTAGGAGATAGTGGTGCCCATGGATGCCACTTATAAACATCAATTAGAAGGGTAATAAACAGGAGTCATGGAGAGAGGTGTGCTAGAAAAGGGAGGCTATGAAGCATGAGAAAAGAGAACTCAACATCTCCATGGTAGGTGTCAGCCACAATTATCTATCCATGGTCAATGACATTAGGATGTTATATCATCTGTCTCACTCAACAGGAAGTGGCCAAGTGTGCTGCTGTAGGTTTTTTTTTTTTTTTGGCGGGGGGGGGGGGGGGGGGCGTTTCAAGACAGAGTTTCTCTGTGTAGTTTTGGTGCCTGTCATGGATCTCACTCTGTAGAGCAGGCTGGCCTCGAACTCACAAAGATCCGCCTGACTCTGCCTCCCAAGTAGTGGGATTAAAGGCATGAGCCACCATCGCCCAGCTGTGCTGCTGTAATTTCTAACCACAAATTTATCTATTTTCCTTTTAAAATGGAAAGAGGGTAGAAGACAGTGTAAGATCTTCTACAGGGAAAGCCAAGCTGATAATCTCTTGACCTTGACTAGAAAAAGAGATTTAGCATTTTAAAGTATTTATGAGAGTGCAGTGCCATTATTATGACCTTACTTACCATGGCATAGAGCAGAGGTTCTCAACCTTCCTAGTGCTGTGACCCTTTAATACCATTCTTCATGTTGTGGAGACCTCTCCCAACTGTAAAATTACTTCATTGCTATCTCATAACTATAATTTTACTGCTCTTATGAATTGTAATGTAAATATCTGATATGTAGGATATTTGATGTGCAACCCCTGTGAGGGTTGTGACCACAGGTTGAGAACCCCGGACATAGGAAATGACTACAAGCTCAATGTCCCTTCACAAGCAGGAAGAAGGGAGAAGTGAGTTACTGTAGTCAGCCCTGATAAAATTCACTAGCCTCTTGGAAGATTCAGGCTCTTAACCCACTTAAAGTTTAGTAAATACCATACTGTGTATGTTTAATTTACACAAATTATCGTTAGTTATATCATGTAATGTAATTCATCATTGATGGCCATAAAAAGACTCTCCATTTTCTCTGTCTGTCCTCAGGTACTATCATATTCCATAAAATGTTGCTCACACATTAAAATGATTATTGAATACCTGGTTGAAATAATATTGAACATTTTAGAATAAATCCATGTCTTCAACTCTTCCAATTTCACATTTCATTTAGTACAAAATATCTACCCAAGACACAGCTGCTTCAGAGGACAAGCCTCATCTCATGTTAATTTATATGTTGAGAACCAAGTCAGCATAGTCTTGAAATGTATTACATGAGTATAAGCCTCCAGGACTATCCCCTTTTTAGCTTATTTGTTTATATTTATTTATTTAGCACAGTACTGGAGAATATACCCAAGGCGTCTCTCATGCTCGGCAAGCACTCTACCACCTAGCTGTTTCCTTAGCTCTATCTTTAAAGTTAAGTCCATATTTGAAAAACCAAAACTGCCCTCCATGAAATCTGGTTAATAGACAAATGCTTTCTCATAAGTTAGCTTGTGCTGTAGCTTTGCTAAAGACGTATATTTAACCCCTAGATTAAATAGATCCTTTCCTGCCGTATCCACTGCTACCATCATCACAGGTTCATAGGAAGATTGTCCCAGGATTTCCATTGTTAGTAGCGTCTCTTCAGTGGAAGATTTTATTTATAGCCTCTTCCTGATCCACTTCTATCATAAATCTTGAGTTCCTTTCTATGTCTTTGGGTCTCTCTGTCTGTCTCTGTTTCTCTGTCTCTCTGTCTCTCTCTCTCTCTCTCTCTCTCTCTCTCTCTCTCTCTCTCTCTGTCTCTCTCTCTCTCTCTCTGTCTCTCTCTCTCTCTGTCTCTTCTCCCCCAGACATACCATCTTTGTGTAGACATTCTTTGGACCAGAAAAAGTTCCTAGACTTTAACTTCCAGGCCAGTAGAACTCAGGACCCATGGGAGGCAGAAGTAAAAATCTAAGAGGTACAAGAGTACAGCTCACCTGCCATCTTCTGCCTCACTGACACGACTGATTCCTTCGTGCCTGGGAAATGGCTCCCCCGTCTTCCCTGTATGGCCACATTGTCACTGAACAGCTGCTACTTGAATCATACTATGGACCGACCACCTGCGGAAATTCTGCATGCATGCGTTATCAATGATTAAGTATTTACACTGTACTTGAGATTGGATAGATGAACTGAGTCTCTGCCTTCCTAATTTAGTAAACTAACCAATCTCAAAAGACCGATAGTTAAAATTTCCCATCAGTAGTTTTGAACTCTTAAGTCATGACATGGGAGGGATCACTTAACTGACATGTTCAAGGCACCAGGCTCAATCCTGAGCAGCAACAGACAGAAAATAAAAGAATGAGTGAGGAGCCTCAGGGGACGTAGACATAGACAGCATTGCCGTGAACTCGCAAATGCCATGTGTCCCCTGGAAAAGGCAGGCTTGGACCTCTCTGAAGTCCATGTCTTTCTTCATGAGGCCAGGTACGTGCATTTTAGCCTGCCCTGTGTGCTCACTAGCCATTTATCTTTCCATTTTTGAAAATCTGAAATGACATTTTTGAATTGGCTTTCCAGAACAATGCTTAAAATGGCAATTTTTATACTGTAGGAAGCTTCTTCTTTTTTTTGTAAGTTTTAAGCCAACTGTCAGGATGACCTCAGTCAGGGCCTGCAGAGCACACTGTGTTAAAGTCAAAAGAAAATAAAGTTCCCTGCTGGAGCCACAAGGCTGTTTCCAGAGCTTGGGGACATCCTGAGCTCAGACATGAACTCAGTGTGAGCTCCCACTACATGAACTGTAGGAGCTAAGTCTCCTGCAGACTAAGTTGATCTTGAGGCCCAGAGTCTTCTGTTCAGGTCCTTACGACCAAGAGCCTTTCAGTCTCTGGTCATTCTGCTTTCAATTGTGAACATTTAGCCAAAAACCTTAAACCAGGGTGTTAGCCCTCCTTCACCATGGCAAATTAACCAGGAAAATCAACTTAATAAAAGAGGATTTGTTTAGGCTCCTGTTCTTGGAGAGGTGAGGTGCTAGCTCACTTAGCCCTGTGGATTTGGACCTGTGGTGGAGTGGCACATCATGGTAGATACGTATGACAGAGGAAGCCTATTTATCCCACAGCAGCCAGTAATTAAAAAGAGCAGGAGCTGGAAGGAGCCTAGATCACAGTATTTCCCAATGACCTCACTTCCTCCCCAGAAGCTCCACCTACCAAAGTATCCATGGCCTACCAATGACACTGCAGGCCAACAGCCAAGCCCTCAACACACTGACCTTTGGAGTTATTTAGGATCCAAACCATGGCAACCAGAAGACATGACATGAGACTCAGTCAGTACACTTCCTTCCTTACTCTGTTTAGAGGACACTTGGCTCTCTGAGAACAGAAATACATGGGCAGATTCCCCCATATCTCTGGTCTGTTCGTCTTGCTATCTGCAGCTGATTAATATATGGGCTTGTATTAAACATTAATGTTATTAGTATGTAAATACATAATTGTATTTAACATTAACACTAATATGTTTGGGTACTATAATTATTCCTACAGAATTCCAAACAGAAAGTTAGGACGGACAGAATGATACAAAGTCATGTCCTAATGATTTAATGTGCCACAGGCTCCTTTTGTTCATCTTTTTTTTTAGTCTCCCCCCGCCCACCCTTACAGAATGCTTTCTTTGTGCCTGTAGTAATGGCTTGTTGCTAACAGGAAGATATACAAGTGACGAAGCATTAAGCCAGGCTGCAAGGAACTTTGGCAGGGAAAGACCAAAACAAACAGTCCTTTGGGTTCTAGGGAGTGGATACTGTAAAATCACAATACAAAACTGTCTCTGCCATGGTGCCAGGGTTTCCACAGAAACCTAGCCCTGTAGATATGCTACATTGTGATTAACATGTAAAGAGTTGGGGCCAGAGGCTGAATACTGCTGAGTGCAATTTCCAGGATCGAATTTGGGCAGCTCACAATCACCTGTAACTCCAGCTCCAAAGGATACCATACCTTTGGTTTCAGCTGACATCAGCGTGTGCCTATATACGTACTCCCACACCTAAACATGATAAGATTTTTTTTTTAATCATGGGAAGAAGAAAAGCAAGGGAAAGATACATTGAGCTACTGGGATCATAAAGGAAAACAGAGTTACTGTGTCAAAGAACTTGGAAACGATTTCAGCCCAGTGTTTTAGTACTCCAGCGTGATCCCATCTCTCAGGCTGAGGCAGGATTGAGCACTCCAGCCTGGGCTGTGCAGCAAGAATCTGTCTCAGAAAACAAAACAACAGTAAGATTGCATTTCACAGTTTCCTTGTCCCATAGTTCCTTCCACCCTTACAAAGGTGAAAGAGACCTTTCCATTAATGCACGAAAGCTGCTTTTAGGAACAGCTTGGGGTCCCTCAGAAACCCAGCAGTAGTGTGGAGCCACAGAAAGAACCGTTTACACCTACCAAGGGAAGAGCTAACTTTATGCCTTGTTCTTCACCCCTCAGGTCTTTGCCCAAGACGGGTCTGGAACTTAACGGGGTTCCCATGACCCCTGCGATTGCTTCCAGTCAGCGATGAAAGGGTTATCGGGTAGCCGCAGCCACCACCACGGGATCACCTGCGAGTCGGCCTGTGACTCACTCTCACACCACTCAGACCACAAGCCGTACCTGCTGAGCCCGGTGGACCACCACCCTGCGGACCATCCCTACTACACCCAGCGGAATTCCTTCCAGGCCGAGTGCGTGGGACCCTTCAGTGACCCGCTGGCCAGCAGCACCTTCCCACGCAGGCACTACACCTCGCAGCAGGAGCTGAAGGACGAGAGTGCCCTGGTGCCACGCACACTGGCCACCAAGGCGAATCGCATCCCCGCCAACCTGCTGGATCAGTTTGAAAGGCAGCTGCCCCTCAGCCGGGATGGCTACCACACGCTACAGTACAAGCGCACCGCTGTGGAGCATCGCAGCGATAGCCCCGGCCGCATCCGGCACCTGGTCCACTCGGTCCAGAAGCTCTTTACCAAGTCGCATTCCCTGGAAGGGCCATCCAAAGGCAGTGTCAATGGGGGCAAGGCCAGCCCCGATGAGTCGCAAACTGTGAGATATGGCAAGCGCAGCAAGAGCAAGGAGAGGCGTTCAGAGTCCAAGGCCAGATCCAATGCCTCCAACGCCTCCCCCACCTCTCCCAGCTGGTGGAGCTCAGATGACAACCTGGATGGCGACATGTGCCTCTACCACACGCCGTCGGGTGTGATGACCATGGGCAGGTGCCCTGACCGCTCTGCTTCACAGTACTTCATGGAAGCCTACAACACCATCAGCGAGCAGGCGGTGAAGGCCTCCCGGAGTAACAATGACGTCAAGTGCTCCACCTGTGCTAACCTGCCCGTCAGTCTGGATGCCCCTCTTCTGAAGAAGAGTGCCTGGTCCTCCACTCTCACCGTGAGCAGAGCCCGAGAGGTTTACCAGAAAGCCTCGGTGAACATGGATCAGGCCATGGTGAAGTCCGAGGCATGTCAACAAGAACGGTCCTGCCAGTACCTACAGGTACTATCTATGTTCAATGATAGATGTTGTGAAATTGCTCCTGACTCGGTTATTGTGGTCTTTGCTCCTGGGTTCTAGTCTTGTCTCTATTCAGAACTGTCTATATAAACTCAAGCAGATTATTTATTATTTCAGTGAGTAATGGCAGCTATCGGGAAAATTCAAGGAAGCACATGCAACCAGCTTCCCCTGGTTCTCTTAAGATATTAGGCAGTGTGCACACATCTTCCTTATGGCAGTGATTATCCCCAGCCCACCCCGCTTCTAAGACACAGAAAACCAGGATGTTACCCTGCAGAGGTGGAGACAGAAGGAGGCAGTTTGGGGACCTGATAAGCACAGCTGCAGAAGCCCAGGACAACAGAGGAGAGGAGGGTGAAGGGGAGACATCAGTGCATAAAATACAATTAGTGTCAGCATGTAAATCCCACACACAGCCTCCAAGGCAGGCTGCTCTTCCCTTTCCACTTCTGCTTCTGTTCTCCCTTCTGCCTCCAGCTGCCTTCCACAAGATTCACCTGGATAAAAATATCGGCGAGGGCAGGCAGAGATACCTTCCCTCTCCCCTCCCTCCAGTATTATTCTTCCTGAGACACAATGCTCCCCGCAGAATGACCCTCATGGTTTTCCCCCAATTTCAGAGCATCTCTGTCTCTCTTTCTTTCCTGATGTCCCTGTCTTTCAGTGAAAGTTTTTACTAGACCTTAAAAGCAGCATGCCATAATCATCTCCATTCTCTCCTTCTGAAGAAATACAAGAAGAAATTCTTCCAGTGAGAATGTGGTCATTTTTCCCTCATTAAACTCTTTCTGATAAATACAGCTTTCTTGGGAGTACCTATCCCAAGCCCTGAGAATATCCTAGGTTGGCAGTCCTGAGCAAAGACAAGGCCCATGCCTGAACTTTAGAAGAAGTTACCATGTCACAAATACATGTTAGTATTTTCTACTTAAAAAGTAGGATTGCCTAGTTTACTGTACGATTGTTCTGTATATAAATAAACATCAAAAGAAGCTAGAGAAATTTCTCAGTGGTTAAGAGCACTGGCTGCTCTTGCAGAGGATCCAGGTTCAGTTCCCAGCATCCACATAGTGGTTTGCAACCATCTGTTAACTCCGGTTCCAGGAGATCTGACACACACTGCTGACCTCTGCAGGCACCAAGCACACACATGGTACACATACATAGATGCCGGCAAAGAACTATTAATAATGCTCCAGCTAAAAGATTCATCTGACCCACTTAGTACAGAAAAAAGAAGTGAACTCAAATAAAGGCTTAATGGGTTACACTGTCAGCATGTGTCAGAAATGGGACTAGAACCTTCGTCTCTTCAAAAGAAATGACCATTATAAGGGCCGCAAGCTAAGGATTTAGAAATTATTTAAGCACATAAATTTTACCCAATATTGAAAGTGAAGTACTCTGATAAAAAATAATTGTCTTGAAGAAAGGTTGAGTAAGGAGACAGAGGTGTCCTAGAAATGGGCATGTTTTCTATGAGAAGGCTCTGTGACTAATGACTGTTATGCCCTGTGCTATTGTAAGTCGTGGTAGGATATGAGAAATTAGAAGTATTAGACTTAAGAAGGATGCTGTCCATGAATCCAACACCAGCCATTGTTAGTAATAGAACACTCACTTGTACTTGTACAATAGTTTATGTTCTTCCTCCTGAAATTCATTTTTCTTTTCTTTTTTTTTTTGGGGGGGGGGTTGAGACAGGATTTCTCTATGTATTTTTGGTGCCTGTCCTTGATCTCACTTTTTAGACATGCTGGCCTCAAACTCACTCACAGAGATCCGCCTGGCTCTGCCTCCTGAGTGCTGGGATTAAAGGTGTGCACCACCATCACCTGGCTTTTCTTTTCTTTTTTATGCCTTTTAAAGTCAAAATCTCAAAAGTGGTAAAGTGTGCAACGGTAGAGAAGGGAAGAAGAAAATGAATATTAACCAGAGTCATTGTGTACTGGGCACTGTGGTGAACATGTTCTATCTTCAATATGGATGCAGTAAGACTATTTACAAGAGAAGAAACTGAGGCTTTGACCTGGAGGTTATAGGACTGAAATTTGGGCTTATTCCTACTCCATACCAAAGCTAAGTAGGAAAGTGAGGAAGAAGTACGTTTTCAAAATAATCATTTTGAGCATTTTTCAGTAACATCAGAATGAAATGTTCAAAATCAAAGTGTGGGATTTAATACAGTCATGTCAATGGATCTCATACTTCAGTGAATAGAAACCTCTACTTTCAAATTATTTACCTTCCATAGGCTAGTTTTTTTTAATAATGCATTTAAGAGAGCTACAAGAAAAACTGAATATTCCTGAAGAAGGGGAGAGTAGGCGATGCCTCCTGAGACCTGAGTTCCAACAATTCTCTTGGTTCTAGAAGGAGAGACAAAGAATCCAACATCCTGTGGAAACTCTTCTCAGAAAATAGGATTAACAAGCTCCCATCAGCTCTTGGGGGATAATTTCATGTATAAACTCATCGTAGAAGCAAATCTGGAGGGAAAAAAAGAGTTGTTTTGTTTTGTTTTGTAGTAATATGACTATAGGTGCTGATTTAAAGCCAGATTTAGTCATATTTAACATCACCATCACAAGGTCTAGTGAGCAACAACCTACAAGCCCACTCAACCAGGAGCATTAGCCTTTTCTTCCCTATTGACCGCTAACCGGTGACATTGCTGGAGCCATCCTTCAGATTCCTGAGCCTCCTTCATCTACTAGGGAAGGAGATACTTGGTTCTAGAAGGCTGCAATCTCTCTACACACTTCCAAATTCATAAATTGAGTATTTCAGTGTACTAATCAGAGCAATTTCCAGGAGTTGGAAGGCCGGTAACTCTCGATTCATAAACGCTTGCCAAAAGCAGATGCTTCTCAAATGTTACTGAATTTGTTCTTTGAAATTTTAAAGGCATTTCACAGAGGGGAAAATATAGACTTAGAAAACTATGTTGAATAACTTGACCAAGGGCACACAGCAACAGGAAAAGCCAAAACTGAGTCTTTTCCCTTTGAAGTCTGAATTCTTGCCATTCACCAGGCTCAATCCTCTCACATAGTCTCTGGGTTAGAAACCATCTAGATCTCATTTAGTACACAAAACAACTTTGAAAAGTACTATATTTGCTTTAACTATTTTCAGAACTCTTTTTCCATACAGAGATGGGTGTCCATTATGGTATTTTCATCCATTCGCCTAACAAACGCCGATCGTATTCATCCTCTATTCCTCTCTGCCTCTGCCCCGCCCCCCACTTCTTCCCAAGAAGTTCTTTTTTGCTTTTACTTTGTAGACAAAACTGAGACACAAAGAATGCAGATTATGCAGGGCAGCCAACAGCTGACTCCAGGTCTGTCCAGTTCTATAATGTGTTTCAGACATAGATATAAATGTGTGTTTTATTTTAATTTGTCTTAGTCTGCATCAAACTCATGTGTGCACTGGACCTGCAATGTGTCCACGCCAGTAAAAGAACATACACGTGAAATTAGGCTACCAGTGCAAGGAAAAGTGAAATCCCTAATTTGATTCAAAACCAAATTAGTATTCACTAATTAATATTAATTAATTCACTAATTAACATTAACATTAATTCACTAATTAATGTTAATAAGTATTCACTAGATAATAGAACTTCAATACTAAAATGCCTTCTGCTTTTGGAGAGTTTCACTCAGCATGAACTTAATGCAGCTCCTTGCCAGGACTGTGTAAGAGATGAGGGGTCTGTGTGTGTCTCGCCTGTGGCTGTCCAGGGTTCACTCATAATCACTGTACACTCCAGTCAATACACTCAATGGATGCTGTGTGCTCACTCACAAGCTGTTTTAGTTAATTTTTTTTTTAAAAAAAAAAGGCTCCCCCTTTTCCCAATATTGTTATTTTTAAATGTCAAGAATCAGATGTCTGCTGTTGAGAACTATTGTACCGCTGCCAGTGACTGCCTGTATCAGGGCTTGGAGCAGGAGCATGGATTTGAAGACATTAAAACTGTTTAATTCTCAGTTGAGATGTGGCTGGCTTTTGTACATTTGGAATAGAGCATTTATGGCACATCTCAGGGTAAGTGCTAATAGTTAAGTAAACAGAATAGGCTGGGAGGAGGGTTGTTTTCTTTTTCTTTTTTCTTTTTTAAGTAGAATTCTTGGTTGTGTTTATGCCTCTTTATATAAACGTTCCGTGTTGAGTGAGTGGCATATTCAGCCATTCAGAAGAGAAAGATTTTTAGATTTCCAACTGTTCACCTAAGAAGAAGGGGGAAAAAAAAATCCCTTCGAATCGTGTATTTAGCATTCATCCTTCATCCAGCAGCAGAAACAGGAAAGGGGAAGGGAAGGGAACCCTCTCCTCTCCCGAGAGAAGCCGAGAGTCACACAGAGGGAGCGAGAGAGCACAGACAGGGACCGAGGAAGCCAGCTCTCTCAGAGATGAAGCTGTAGACAGCAAAATGATCGACCTTTTTAAGGCTGAGTGGGTTTCTTCAGTCTGTGTGCAAGTTTCCAGAAATGGAAGGACTGACCAGGTTTGGGTATAAGTAACTCTTCTATTACTTTGTGTTTGATGGATGTGAGTAGTTGGTTTGGAAGGGATTTTTGCAAAGAGGGGGAGAGTGTGTGGATAGTTTGGTTGTTTTGTTTTGTTTTGTTTTCCGTCTCTATAAACAATGCCTAGTGTGTCGGAAAGAGCTAACAAGCTAACGTATGTACAGATGGTGGGAAACAGGTGAAGACATCAGGTGCCTACAAGCCACTGTGCGCAGAGGCACCCTAAAATCCTGTTTCTCATGTTCCTGGAGTGCATGTTAAGGGGCTGGAGGATGCTAAATGGCTGGTGATTTGAATGCGATCGGTCATTTTTCTGAACAAGAATCCTCAGCACTTACTGGTCCTTTTCAGAATTTAAATTTGTGGATGATGGGATCTTTTTCATTTTTTGGAATGGTTTTTGTTTTTGTTTTGTCTGTTGTTTGCATGAGATACCAC